TCTATAATATCTTACTTTTACGTACTTATATACAAATTAAATCTATACCTGTTACAGCAAGTTACATGTAAAACACAACTAATATTCGCGATTGCACATTAAGATATTAACGACGAAGACAATGCGAACATAATAATCTCAGAGTAAAATTCTTTCGTGTTTTATAATATCATGTAAAGCTATAAATTATAACGATGATGATCCACGCAAAGATAGTATTGTATATAAAAACATAGCACAAATAAATAAAGAACATAGAGAAAAGCAATAAATAGATGATGATAAACAAACAATTAACTGTAACTTATACTCTCTGTATCAACAAATCATATGTCGGGTTTAAAATTTCGGTATCTTTTTGAAAATTTATGTTATTATCGAACTTTTTGATAAAAAACATCTCAACAATTTCTCTCTTCTTTTTATGTTTTTCGCAATGTAATATTTTAGGGTCCTTCCAATTAAAATCGTGACCATTTAAAGCACGATGTTTACTGATCACATTATGATTACTGAGATATTTTTTTATATCATTGCAATGTTCTTTAACACGTGTAGCTAATTGTCTCTTCGTTTGTCCCGTATATGTTGCTTCACAGTTGTTACATTTTAACTTATATACTACGTCTGTTTTACTGCCGATGTCCAACCTGTCCTTGCCTCTGATAATTAAACTATTAAGACTTTTCGGGATGGTGTGTACGACTTTGATGCCAACCTTGTTCAAAGCTATGTTTAAATTCTTGCTCAAATTTTTTACATAAGGCAAGGACATAGTGGATTTCGTATCAAACTTTTCCTTAAGTCGCTTAATATCACTTTCCGACATATTTCTGAATTTCAATGTCTTTATTCCTCTGTACATGTGTATTTACAAGTTGTTTCGGAAAACCATTGTTAACTAAGATCTTTTTAACAATTCTCTAATTATTTTAATATTATTTTCATGGAACTTAACATCTGATAATAAAATTGCTTGATCTAATATACTTTTGATGGTGTTAATCTTATAATTAAAAGTCCAAATTATTCATACTTTAAGGTCATCCATAACCATATCAGCCATAATTGGTGATAAGAGGGACCCCATTAGACATCCGTAAATTTGTTCATAGTACTCTCCATCGAAACTAAAACTCGTCAAGTCAAAGACAACAGTCAAAGTGTGTAAGAATTGTTGTAAAGTTAAGTCTGTGTAAGGTGTGATAAAACTCCATCTTTTCTCAATTGCTTTCAAAGCCAAATCTTTGGGGATGTTCGTAAATAAAGACGTTACATCAAGTGAGAATAACATATCATTGATACTACTCCTCATTTGTCTAATTATTTTCGCAAAAGTCCAACTATCCTTAACAAAAGATGCAGGTTTTGGTAAAGATTCACGTAAAATTTCATATAGCTAAAGAGCTAAATTGTACGTTGTGCTACCCACCGACGAGATTATAATATATAGAGAATGGTCTTTCTTGTGTACTTTAGGCAAATCATAACATCTGGGAAGATTGCCACAAGTATTATTCAGTCGGTAGTACATACCTATCATCTATGATACTACCATCATGTCAACTTTTAACCAAAATGTTAATATTTGCTTTCACCGATTTGATGGGGTCTTACTTAATTTTTTTATGAGTTGTTACATCGTCTAGCAATTTATGCATGTTATTTTTGTATTCTGTTCATAATTACTGTTAACTGTCCCTTGTCTGCTCTAGTAATGAGTAAGTCATTATTATTTTTTATGAATTTCTTGCGAAGGTCAAAGCCCTTCAGGAGCTTTAATCTATCTAAAGCGTTTACATGTTTTTGTTTACTTATGAACTTTATAAGGGAAGAACGAAGAATACAGGAATCAATAACAATAACACTGAAGATAATAAAAAATACATTGTCATTTCTTACATCAAGACAATCTCAGAATTTGTTGCATCCGCGATAAAAAAATCTGACGTAGATACCGTTGCATTAAGAAACTCGATTATTTTATAAAAGTACAGAAGGACAAGAATGAGCGACCTTATAATTCTAACGCCATCTATAAAATAAACTGCAACGATTGCGATGCGACTTACATAGGTCAGACTAATTGTAAGCTATTCAGACACTTACGAAACAATACTTCTTTCTGCCTTTGTAACTTAATAACGCCGCATTTTCAGTCAAGACGAAAACAAACAATATTAAGAATATATAATTCTGTACCAAGGGGGTTAAAGGGGTAACACAGGAATTATAGATCTAAACCAAGGATACTGTTTTCTAATCAACGAAAAATTAATTTTTGTTGACAACAATGATTTCTTTATACAATTATATATATATCTTTAGATGTCTCGTCAAAATCTTCGTAAAAATCTAATAATTTCTTACATATTCCACTCCTTTCGTAAAAATATTGTACGGCAAATGGAAATGTTTTTATGTTACCAACGTTTGATGTATCTAAACTTATTGCAAAATAATGAGTCTTTCAAATCTGATATAAGTTTTTCTCGTAAAAAGAAAGTAGTAAATGTAATTGTAGCTGGTTTAGTTCAACCACACGCTATTTTGGCAGCAACAGCTATCTGGAATAATTTTGTTGATATTTTGATTACACAATTCAAACTATTATAACTTAAACCATGCTTCACATTATGATAGACAAAAGCTATTTTTGCATTTGTGATTAAAGTTTCCTCCTTTAAAGCTTTTTTTCATGAAAAAATTGCTAACGCATCTTGCGGTCTTCCTGGACGATTACAATTTTTTATGTTTAGCCAAATTGGCATGAATCTAAATATTTCATAAATTAAAATAATCTTCAGAGTTACAAATAATTAAATGTTAAGGACCGTCAACACGTTTATTAAATTCGAGTCTGTCTATTCTGTAAATTTATGTCGTTCAAATTGGTCGTTCCGCCAAGTCGTTCGATCTTGCTTATTGTGTCAATAGTTTCAAATTACTCGCGTTATTCGTATCAGCCTCGCAGTAACGGCTGTCCTTTGTGATTATCGTCTTAAAAATTAAATATTTTGGCATGATTCTCGTCGACAGATTCTCGTTCGCGAAAGTATCCTTTGACTTGTTTTCGACGTCTCTTGTTTATTCGTTATTCTATCCTGACTTTCGCACGCAGAAAAAACCTTGAAGCGTTTCCCGGTCAAACTGTTTTGCTTCTTCTCGTATGGGCAAATTGAGGAGCGAATCGGCGTTCCCGCCGATTCTTTGTCAGAAGCTAACGAGAAATCATACGATCGAGATCGCGTCCGCACCTTCAAAATTAGAACAACTTGGCCGGACTTATTGTTAGTAACGGGAACGCGGAACTCTATCTAAGTGTCGCGTCAGTGATCCGATTCCAGCATTATACTTAACACGGACAAAGTGAATAAATGACAGTTTTGTTAATTTGATTAAACAATTGTGCATTTTATAAATCTGTTACTCTCGCTCGCTCCCGTCTTCAATCTTCAGTCTCGCGGTCGCAGTCCACTATCATTCTGTCTCTCTCGCTCCTTCTCAACGCTATACCACCTTCTCTCTCATCGCACATTCAACCCGCATTCTCGCGGAGCGGAACCCGCCGCATGCGTTCACGACATTCGAGTTGAAAAACCCTCGAATCACGAACATTAAATACACACAAATTATTCTATAGAGTAAAATAAAATATAATTGTTCGAAAAAGAGACGATCACAATATAGATAAATTCTCGTTTGATTTACAACTCTTGTTTCAAAGAACCAGTCCTCGGACAAATAACATTTGCTTCGGATTCTAAGGAATTATTTTCCTTTAGTTTTTCTGACATTACCGTTGCTGCCGAAATCTGACAAACATCTCGGTGGTCGATCGTGATTGGTTGAAGAAATCATACGACCGACACCGAGTATGTTTTTGTACTCGACTCGGTAGGGAATATTATCGAGGATTGAGCAGAATCGTCACTGTGAGACGAACCTTGATAGCGTACGCATCGTCCGGATTTTACGCGCGATCAGTACGGAAGTTCGTAGTTCGTACAATTTATCCGGGTCGGCTTTTGATCGGTCTAGAGAGCTTCGTCTTGTTAAATCAATGGTGTTATTCTGGTGTTAAATATATACGTTTGTTAATTAAACTCCATTGACTTATTATTATTATTCCACCCGGGACAAGTGACGAACCGGTAATAAAAAAAAGATATATATTAGTTGTTTTTTAAATTAGTGTTTCACGCGTAAATCGAAGGCGGGTGAACATTAAATGGTCCTTCGAGCCGGATCTGGAACTTGTCACGCTAAAAACAGTACTTCGAGAGAACGATAGACGAGTGTGATTGAGACCGCTGCCGCGAGTGATGCAAGAAAGAACCGAAAACCGATCAGGTGATCGAAGCTGACACGGTACATAAGTTGACTGTAAACAAGAAGACGCATTCCGCTGTTGCCGTGAAGAGTTCCGTGCGGTATTTTAAGGAAACGTCTTCTCGCGTGGAAAAGTAAAAAGCGAGTGATCGAACAAGATTTCTGTGCAGATTGAAACTATCACAGTCAAAGTGCCCCTGGCGCATTAATAACGTTAATGTATTGTGCTCCTCAGCACACCATACACGCGTGTGCTCCACGTGATCCGCAAGACAGCACCGTAAAAAACTGTTGTCGCGCTCTTTAGTGCTTCACACAACGAAGTGAAATAATCGTGCCCCGTGGATCACGAACTTTTTCTTGGTGACCTGCGTAATCCGCAGTGCCACTTTCAAGTATTGTTACCGCGTTCTTTAACGCTTCGCAAATTTAAGGGTGACTATCGCGTTCTTTAGCGCGTAACCTGAATAATTGCACTCTGCGTAATCCGCCGAGTCGCGCTCAAGCACTATTTACGAGCTCTTTAGCGTTTTGCACAGCCTAAGTGCGATTGTCGAGCTCCTTAGCCGACTGAAATACGACGGTCAGTCGTCACTTTAACACTCTACCAAATCGCTCTGCGTTTGGTGAAGCTTTAATGCCCAGCTGAGGCCCTACTTCTCGCTGTTATGTCGAGTGACCTGCAGGAACTGCTCGTCGAGCAATCTGCCACGATCGCTTCAATCAAGCGAGTACTTTCCAATTTTAAAAAACTTGGCAAGGCGAACGTCACCTTATACAAGGCGAAGAATCGACTGGAAGGCCTGGAGACCTTATGGGAGAAGTGTCAACAGCTGAACGTCCGGCTTCTCCTCGCAGCATCACCCGAGGAACAACGAACGAACGGATACTTTACCGCAGAGGTCTTCTTCGAGGTTGAGGACGTCTATCACGAAGCCGCGGACTATCTCGCTGATGTAATCGGTAAATTCACTCGATGCGAGTCGAACGCGGCTCACTCGGTAAGCGACACCTCTATACGGGAACCCTCTATTGCGTTGCAATTACCTCGTATATCTCTGCCGAAGTTTTCCGGTAATCTAACGGAGTGGGGAAATTTTCGCGGAATCTTCGAGTCACTTGTTGCCTCTAAAGAAACGCTATCGAACACTCAAAAATTACATTACCTAAAGGCGAGTGTTACGGGCGAAGCCGCGTTATTGATAAATCATATCCAGATAACAGACACGAGTTACGACGCTGCGTGGAAATTACTTGTAGATGAGTACGATAACCAATACGCTATCATCTTTGCGCACATTCAAGCCTTTACAGAGCTGCCGATTATAAAAACGGAAACCGCTGCCGATCTTAAGAGGTTGCGAGGTGTTGTTGCCTCGTCATTGGCTGCGTTAGATAATTTAGGCAGACCGGTAGATCAATGGGACGATTTGTTAGTTTTTATAATCTCTCAAAAACTTAGTCCACGCACGCGTAACGAATGGAATCTGTTACGCGGAAAAACAAGCTCTTATCCGACTTACGAAAATATTCGTGATTTCATGACGTTGCGAATACGAGGGTTGACGGATCATTATAAAAATATCGATTCTTCGCAAAATAAAATTAAAGGTTCTAACCGCTGCAGTTATAATCGCGCCTCTGTACACAGCGTGACCGCCGATAAATGTTTGAATTGCCCCGGCAATCATCGGTTAATGCAATGTGATGATTTCAAAGGTAAATCAGTTGAACAGAGAATTCAGCTTCTCCGATCAAATAAATGTTGCTTCAATTGTCTAAAAGTCGGCCACTTCCCTAACGATTGTTCGAGTCAAAAACGATGTAATGTGTGCCGACGAGCGCATCATACGCTCCTACACCGGGACGTTAATGCTCAAAAGACGAATGTAAATTCTGTCGCGAATAATGCGACGCTCAACGCTCAACCGTCTGCTACTGCCTCTGAGGCCCACGACAAGTCCGCTGTTGTCTCTGTTCAAACGATTAGCGCTCCGATAAAAAATCCACCGAATGTACTGTTAGCTACTGCGTGGGTGATTCTTCGCACGGTCGAAGGTCGTAAATTTAAAATACGTGCGTTATTGGATCAGGGTTCTGCCGTTAGTTTTATTTCGGAGTCATGCCAAACGCTGCGCACGAAACGTTACCGCGCGAGATTACTGGTACATTGCTTTGGTGAACAATACAGTGGCGTAGCGAAAGCGCAAGTACCGCTCAAGCTCGAGCCGTGTCAAACGCAAGGACCTTCTTTACCTCTAAATGCTTTCGTATATCAAAAAATAACGTCGTACGCGGGTTCTCGAATAAAACCTCTCGATTCTTGGCCTCACTTAAGTGGATTAAATCTCGCGGATCCCGATCTGTTTAGCAATCACCCGATTCATCTGCTCCTCGGAGCAGACATATACGGCGCTTTGTTACTGCATGACGTAAAGCAAGGCCCAAGCGGAACTCCAACGGCTCAGCTCACTAAACTAGGCTGGGTCTTATCCGGTTCCACCGGAACTTCTACTCAAAGAACAGAATCGGTTCAAACGCTAAATTGCGTCCTGGACCCTCCGATAGATTCTCTGCTCCGTAAGTTTTGGGAGATCGAGGAGATTTCTTCCGACTCTCCGCTGTCGGAAGAAGATCAAAAATGTGAGTTGCATTTTAAGGAAAGTCATACGCATGCCAACGACGGCCGTTATATCGTTCGGTTACCGTTCAAAACCGATCCTCCGCTCGAGATCGGTTCTTCATACGAAATTACCGCGCTTCTATATTCTAAATTAGAAAAACGTCTAGATTGAAATTACGATCTTGCCAAACGATATAACGAATTCTTGTCGGAATATGAAACAATGAGTCATATGGAGGCCGTTACGGATGACAATAAGCCACGCTTTTCTCTGGTTTATATCCCGCATCATCCGGTGCTCCGCGAGTCCAGCAGTACAACGAAACTTCGCGTCGTATTTAACGCGTCGTGTAAAACTAGTAACGGCTCTACGTTAAATGATTATCTGATGACCGGACCTAAGTTACAACGCGAGTTAGCCTCTATTATCCTGCGATGGCGACAATTCCGCTACGTGTATACAGCGGATATTGAAAAAATGTTCCGACAGATTCGCGTTTATCCGGATGATACGGATTTCGTACGGATTTTCTGGCGATCCGCAAATGATAAACCTATTAAAGCCTATCGATTATTAACGGTTACGTACGGCACTGCTCCTGCTCCTTATTTAGCCATGCGAGTTCTTAATCAATTGGCTCTCGATGAAGGACGCATTTCCAAAAGCTCAATCCATCGTTCAGGAATTTATATACGTCGACGACGTGTTATTCGGCGCCGACGACGTTCCGGAGCTCAAAGAAAGCCGCGATCAACTTCAGTCACTAATGTCGCGTGGCGGTTTTTACTTACGCAAATGGGCTGCTAACGCGACCGAATTATTAGACGATATTCCGGCTGGCGAGCACGAATTAGCTGTCGAACGAAAACTCGGTGAAGACGACCAGTTAAAGGTACTTGGTCTCACGTGGAGACCGCAAGAAGATTCGTTTTGCTTCCAAATAGATATACCTACTGCCGACTTTAATACTAAACGAACCATTCTATCATTTATCGCAAAGGTCTTTGACCCATTAGGATGGGCATCTCCGATAGTAATTACCTCTAAAATAATGATCCAAGAGCTGTGGATCAGAAAATATGACTGGGATTCTCCTGTATCTGCCGAGTTATTAGAGCCGTGGAGAAAGTATTGCTCGGAATTTTCCAAACTAAATGAAATACGCATCCCGCGCTGAACTGGACGACATCGAGAAAATTTAGCTGTCAAATTACATGGGTTCGCAGACGCGTCGACCCGCGCGTACGCTGCTGTCGTTTATTTGAGAATTCGTCACTCGTTCAATAAAATTTCAGTAGTTTTATTAACAGCTAAATCAAAAGTCGCCCCAATTAAAACAATAAGCGTATCGCGAATGGAGTTGAGCGCGATTGTATTATTGACCAAATTACTCGAATGGGTGCAAAATTCGTTGAATTTGCAAAAAGCGCCTGTATACGGATGGACCGACTCGTCTGTCGCCTTAGCCTGGTTACAAGGCCATCCATCGCGATGGAAAACCTTCGTCGCAAATCGCGTATCTGAAGTCCAGACTCAACTCCCTTCGGTGCAATGGAATCACGTCTCATCGAGCGATAACCCCGCGGACTGTGCGTCGCGAGGTGTATCGCCGGCTGCATTCAGGGACTTTACGCTCTGGTGGCACGGCCCTGCTTGGTTAAGTTCTACGGAATCCGCGTGGCCAATTCATAACCATAATCAAAATCGACCCGACGCTAATCGAGAAATCGTTGAATCTGAAATAAAACTCTCTTCCGTGTGTCATACTCGAGTCTCCTCGGAATGGGAGCTACCGCATATAGTTTCTAGCTGGACGAAATTAATTCGAGTTACCGCGCTCGTGAAACGATTTATTCAAAAATTAAAACGCGAATTTACTGCGCCAAAAACGACGGAGTTGTCAGCTGTCGAGCTCAAGGAAGCTTCCCTTTTTTGGCTTCGGTACGTACAGCTCCATCAATTTCCGTCGGAAATTAAGGTTTTAAATGCGAAAGGTTCAATTCCGAAATCCAGCTCCTTGTCGACTCTCTGTCCTTTCCTCGGAGAAGACAAATTAATACGCCTGGGCGGGCGGATCGAAAGCTCGCCGTTGAGTTTTAACGAACGGCATCCCATTATTTTGCCGAAGCATCGCATCTCCGACTTATTAATCGCGCACGCGCATAAAGCCGCCCTTCATGGTGGCACTCAACTTACGCTACGAATTTTACGACAAAACTATTGGATAATTTCCGCTCGCACCAGCGTCAAATCCCACATTCATAATTGCGTAAGATGTGTCCGCAAACGCGCGCGTCCGTCGCAACAGCTGATGGGGAATCTTCCCGTTCATCGAGTCAACCCATCGCCCCCGTTCACGCATACGGGCGTCGATTACGCGGGACCGATGAGTATAATTCCAGTCGTGGGAAGAGGTCAAAAATCGAGAAAGTATTACGTGGTCGTATTTATCTGCCTTGCGACTAAGGCTGTTCACTTAGAGTATGTGGACGACTACACTACTGCCGGATTCCTCGCTGCTTTCAAACGTTTCGCGAGTCGTCGTGGCCTCCCGTCAGACATTTACAGCGACAACGGCACGAACTTTCAGGGCGTAGATAGGGAATTGTACTCCGTTTTTCAAAGACTTATCGCCGATCCTGAACTTAAAAACACCGTTGCCAACGACAACGTAAAATGGCATTTTATTCCTCCCGCCGCGCCGCATTTTGGCGGACTCTGGGAAGCCGGCGTAAAAGGATTGAAGTTTCATCTTAAAAGAGTAACCGGCTCGCGTACATTGTCGCAAATCGAGTTCGCTACGCTACTGTGTCAGATTGAGGCGTGTCTAAATTCACGACCTATTTCCGCATTACATGACAATCCGAACGATTTTTCTGCGATTACTCCGGGCCATTTTTTAATCGGCCGCCCGTTAATTAGTTTACCGGAAGAGTCGAATTTAGAAATAGACTCTGACCGTCTCTCGCGATAGCAACAAGTACGCGCGATGCTCGAACAGATCTGGCGATCTTGGTCGGCTGATTATCTGCATACACTTCAGCAACGACAAAAATGGCGCGAGAATCAATCAGATTTAAAGATCGACGAATTAGTATTATTAAAAAATAGTCTTCTTCCTCCTTCTAAATGGGAACTCGCTCGAATAGTAGCGGTTCATCCAGGAAAGGATAGCCATGTCCGCGTTGTAACGTTACGTACCGCAAAAACAACTCTGAAGCGACCAATAACACAGATCTGTCGACTACCGATAAATGCGAATTATTAGCTTTTAGATTAATGCGCTCCGCGAAATGAAGATTTCGCTCGATTACCGTCTCAAATAAGACTATGTCGCGACGTCAAATTATGATTATGTAAACATAAGTACAATGTGATACCAAATGTCAGCGCCATACTCCGTTATCATCTTCGATCTATAACTATTGTACTTAATCTGTACCATTTCTTCAACCATGTATCATGTAATCAACTGCATATTTCTTTGTTTTGCAATGTTGTCTTAAACCTCTCTAGATCGCTCAACCCTGAAGGACTGGACTTTAATCTGTTTGAGAAGTAATTATTTCGTTACCTATCCGGTATACGAGGCGAGCGGGATGTTCGAAAAAGAGACGATCACAATATAGATAAATTCTCGTTTGATTTACAACTCTTGTTTCAAAGAACCAGTCCTCGGACAAATAACATTTGCTTCGGATTCTAAGGAATTATTTTCCTTTAGTTTTTCTGACATTACCGTTGCTGCCGAAATCTGACAAACATCTCGGTGGTCGATCGTGATTGGTTGAAGAAATCATACGACCGACACCGAGTATGTTTTTGTACTCGACTCGGTAGGGAATATTATCGAGGATTGAGCAGAATCGTCACTGTGAGACGAACCTTGATAGCGTACGCATCGTCCGGATTTTACGCGCGATCAGTACGGAAGTTCGTAGTTCGTACAATTTATCCGGGTAGCTTTTGATCGGTCTAGAGAGCCTCGTCTTGTTAAATCAATGGTGTTATTCTGGTGTTAAATATATACGTTTGTTAATTAAACTCCATTGACTTATTATTATTATTCCACCCGGGACAAGTGACAAACCGGTAATAAAAAAAAAGATATATATTAGTTGTTTTTTAAATTAGTGTTTCACGCGTAAGTAGTAGTAGTAGTAGTAGTAGTAGTAGTAGTTAGTAGTAGTAGTAGTAGTAGTAGTAGTAGTAGTAACATTTATTTTGTGGTTACAATTTACAAATACATTTCTATCAACATTTTTACGAAAAATTACAAAAACATTATTTACAAAAATCAACATAAACTTAATCTAACTTAGCCTAACTTATTCTAAACTTAATCTACTTGATTTCTAGGGGTTGAGTCTCCACACCGGGTCGCCCTTACGGCCTTCTCCCTTTAGCTTCCGCTCAACCCCCTAACACACACACATACATCTACGCCGTCATTAACTGCTAGGCCTTTTATGACGATATTCTTTCTCTTTTCCTCCTTTTCTATTATTTCCCACTTCCTTTCCATATCCCCTACTCTTTTTTGTAATTCAGACCCTATTGTCTCCCCTTCCCTCTCTCTCCCTCCCCCTTTTCCTCTAACTTCTTCACCAGTCCTTCTATTCTTCTCGTCATACCTTCCATGTTCTCCTTTAACTCCTTCTTCTCTTCTCTCCATCTTTCCATCTGCTCCTTACAATTTCTGCTTAACTCTTCATCTCTCCTCTTATCCTTTTCCCCTGCTCCTTTATCTCCTCCCTCAATTTCCCCATTATCTTCCTCACTTCCTGCCACATATCCTGTAACAGTCTCTTAATCTCTCCCTTTTCCCCTTTTTTACCTCCTTTCTCCGGTGATCTTGTTATTTTATTACTTCTCTTAAAAATCTCTACGTTCTCCTCCCCATTCTTCTCCTCTAACTCCCTTTTTTTTCTCTTCAACAAATCCTCTATATTCCCTAGGCTACCACTTCTTTCTTTTCCTTTTTTGCCTAATACTCCTATCACTCCTCCTCTCTCACCTCCCCTGTTTCCTTCTTTCTTTCCGCTTAGCATATTTACTCAACCCTTAGAGTCTAATTCCTATCCTCTTTCCTCTCTATATTCTCCTTTTTCCGTGTTTTCCTTTCTACCCATTTAGCACCTCTCTCTGATCTCTCTACTTCTTGCTTCTTACTTTCTAAACTCACTAGCTATTCCCTAGCGCCTGCTTTCTGTCTTTCTGCTCCCCTCTTTCTCTCTATGCAATCTATGCTCCCTGCCCACTATCGTCTGTCATCCAATTCTCTATCACTCTTGTTCCTACGACTTCTTTCTAACTATTCTCTCTCACTATACTTTTACTCTCTCTTCCTCCTCACATTATCCTCTCCTCTTTCACTCTATACCCTCTAATCTCCCTCAAATATCCGCACTCACACTCCACGTGTACACCGCGTCTGCACCGGAAACGTAAGTCCTAAACGAGCTAATATAATATTAATTTAAGATGTCAAATGAAAATTTATTATTACAAAAAGAACCACATAACACAAGTTGTTACAACCATATGCGTACGTTTCGACTGTACAACAGTCTTTATCAATACCTTAACTTTTACATTTGATACATAATAAATTAATAAGATAAACAATAAAACATATGAAAACGAAATAAAAAACTAAAGATTAGAACATTTATGTCTAAAAGCATATATTATCTCGCACATTAATGAATTGCCTATGTTGTCTAAAATGTTTCGCAATGTTACAATTATAATTAATTATCCAAACCATGTTCCAAGAAAAGAGAAGAGAAAATTGTCAGCTCAAGTTTGTCATTAGTAAGTGAAAAGTGAGGCAGTCAGATCTCTTTAGGCGTCTATCTTTTAAAATTTATAGCTCGGTCCGTGGTTAATATATTTTATTAAAGATGTGCTGTGAATGTTCATATTAAATTACTTTTTTTGAATTTCCAGAAGAATAATTATAATAAACTTACATATGTATCAAATTTTTCTTCAAATTTATGATTATATTTAAACTGCCCTTTACGTGTCATCGTGTCATCTAGGAATACACCTCTTTATTACTTGGCAAAATTTTTACATAAGATAATATATAAGGCAATTCCGAAACCTGATTCGGCTATTTCTGATAATTTCCAATTAGTGAACAAATTAAATGGTTTATGTGTGGATAGTGATGTGAAGCTAGTTTCACTAGATGTTGCATCATTGTTCACCAACGTACCATTGGATATGGCTATTAATAGTTTAATTAACAGATGGGGGTATATTGAAAAAGAGTGTATTATTCCACGAGATGAATTTTTATTGGCAATTCGTTTTATTATGAACTCGACTTATTTTATGTTTAATAATGTATGTTATCAACAGACTTTTGGCACGCCTATGGGTTCCCCCCTCTCACCGATCATTGCGGATATCACGTTGCAAGATTTGGAGAGTAGAGCGATTGCTGCGATTCCATTGTCATTTCCATTTTATTTTAGATATGTTGACGATATCGCGTTGGCGGCCCCACCCTCCATGCTTAAAATAGTTTTAAACACGTTCAATTCTTTCCATCCTAGATTGCAGTTTACCATGGAGGAGGGGGTTGACAACCGATTGAATTTTTTAGATGTCACCATTATTATAAATAATGGGAGCATTGAGTTTGATTTGTTTCATAAGCCGACGTATTCAGGTAGATATTTAAATTTTGAATCGCAGCATCCTCTCTGTCATAAAAAAGGCACCATTATCAGCCTCATAGATAGAGTTTTTTGGCTATCTCATCCGAAATTCCATAAAGGTAACTGAGTCTATGATTGGAGTTCTTTTGTCTAATAATTATCCTCTCAATTTGATATTTCAAACATTGCAAGCGCGGTTAAAAAAGTTGTTCTTCCGCTATAATAATAAGTTGCATAACAATAGAGCAAATATATGCAATGACAAGATTCTAACGCAGAAAAAAGTTTCGTACTTTAATATTCCGTATATTAATAATGTATCGAAGAGAATCGAGGACATTACACGTGATTTGGATGTCATTCCATCATATACAGCTATTAACAGTCTCCGTAAATTCATTAAAGTACACAAGGATAAATTACCAAGGAAACTCCATAATAATGTAGTTTATAAAATTGATTGTATGGATTGTGATGCGTCGTACGTAGGGCAGACGGGTAGATTGTTGAAAACTAGGATGAAAGAACATCGCAACAACATAAAAAGAAACGCGTCACAATTATCAGTCATATCGGAACATAGATTATTGAACCATGAATTTAATTGGGAGGATGTAAAAGTCTTAGACGAGGAGCCTTTTTTAGGTAAACGTTTGATATCCGAAATGATCCACATAAAACGTCAGAGGAATAGTTTAAATTTACATAGCGACACTGATAAATTAAACGAGAATCTTGATCTGTTAATAGAAAAATTTACCAAAATCTAGCTTTGTGATTTTACATAGCCGGGTTTTTTTGTTAGACTTTTGACATGAGTGCCGATTAGTTTAGTTGTTTTTATTTTTATTTTCATATTTGTTTTTTGCGTATATATGTATCGACTGTGTCGAGGTAGAATACCGCACAGTCGTTAGAGTGATGTGTCACGTGTAGCATCGTCTTCTCTCTGTTTTTGCTGTCGGGGTGAGTGTTCTTCCCGGTTTTTAATTTTTAATTCTTGTGAATTGTTCTACGTTTAATTTATACCATGTTGATTAGTGTTGGTAAGGGAGTCACTGCTCTGCTTCCTTCCTGACGATGGTCACCGTTAGGGAGACACTCCGACGACCGGACGGTTTGAATAGGGAGGAGAA